TTATTGATAGTGTCCACTTCTTTGCAGGTTCTAGATCAACAATGTTCTATATCTGCAAGATATGATTCCCATGAAAATACTATCCAATAAAATATATTTAAAACAAAGACACACGTGACACCGGAGTAATTTTCAATTTTATTGCTAGTGTCCACTTCTTTGTGGGTTCTAAATCAACAATGTTTTATATAAAAAAGATATGATTCCCATGTAGAAACTATCCAATAAAATATATTTAAAACAATGGCACATGTAACGCCGAAGTAATTTTAGATTTTATTGCTAGTGTCCACTTCTTTTGGGTTCTAGATCAACAATGTTCTATATCAACAAGATATGATTCTCATGAAAAAACTATCCAATAAAATATATTTAAAACAATGGCACACGTGACGCTGGAGTAATTTTCAGTTTTATTGCTAGTGTCCACTTCTTTGTGGGTTCTAGATCAACAATGTTATATATCAACAAGATATGATTCCTATGTAAAAACTATCAATAAAATATATTTAAAATAATGGCACACATGACGCCGGAGTAATTTTCAATATTATTGATAGTGTCCACTTCTTTGCAGGTTCTAGATCAACAATGTTCTATATCTGCAAGATATGATTCCAATGAAAAAACTATCCAATAAAATATATTTAAAACAAAGACAAACGTGACACCTGAGTAATTTTTAATTTCATTGCTAGTGTCCACTTCTTTGTGGGTTCTAAATCAAGAATGTTTTATATCAAAAAGATATGATTCCCATGTAGAAACTATCCAATAAAATATATTTAAAACAATGGCACACGTAACACCAAAGTAATTTTCGATTTTATTGCTAGTGTCCACTTCTTTGTGGGTTCTAGATCAACAATGTTCTATATCAACAAGATATGATTCCCATGAAAAAACTATCCATTAAAATATATTTAAAACAATGGCACACGTGACGCTGGAGTAATTTTCAGTTTTATTGCTAGTGTCCACTTCTTTGTGGGTTCTAGATCAACAATTTTTTATATCAAGAAGATATGATTCCCATGTAGAAACTATCCAATAAAATATATTTAAAACAATGGCACACGTGATGCTGGAATTATATTCTATTTTATTGCTAGTGCCTCCTTCTTTATAGGTTCTAGATCAACAATGTTCTATATCAACAAGATATGTTTCCCATGAAGAAATTATCCAATAAAATATACGGAGTATTTAAAACAATGGCACACGTGATGCTGAGTAATTTTAAGTTTTATTGCTAGTGTCCACTTCTTTGTGGGTTCTAGATAAACAATGTTCTATATCAACAAGATATGATTGCTATGTAAAAACTATCAATTCCGCAATAAAATATATTTAAAACAATGCCACACGTGACGCCGGAGTAATTTTCAATGTTATTGATAGTGTCCACTTCTTTGCAGGTTCTAGATCAACAATGTTCTATATCTGCAAGATATGATTCCCATGAAAATACTATCCAATAAAATATATTTAAAACAAAGACACACGTGACACCGGAGTAATTTTCAATTTTATTGCTAGTGTCCACTTCTTTGTGGGTTCTAAATCAACAATGTTTTATATAAAAAAGATATGATTCCCATGTAGAAACTATCCAATAAAATATATTTAAAACAATGGCACA